ACAGGCAGTAGGGGAGCTGCTGTGTGGTATGGAAGCCATCTGGGAAGATCCTGGGTTCCTGTCCTGGATCTACTTGAACATGCTGGCACACTTGGCACCAAGGCTAGCTGTAGGACTCAGGGGAGGAACATGGTGTGAAGACCTTGTCAAGGGAACCTCTCTCTTTCTCTGGAAGTAAATAAACTAAAAATATATATATATGCTTAGACTATCAGAAAGAGAAAACATTCAGTAGTATTAAAATTCACAGATGTTATATTTAAAAAGGAACTTTATAAGCCAACCTCAACCCCTTTATTTTACCCAAGAGGAAAGAAAACAAAACATACAGAACATAAGAAGCATCTAACCATCTCCTTTCCCAACTACTCACAGAATACAGATAATGTTGTAATTACATATATAATATGAAACTTTGAAAATCATAGATATACTTATCAGTATTTATTATTTCCAATGAATAGGTAAGCCAATACATAAAACTACTCAGTGATGAAAGATGGTAAAAAGTGGGTGGGGGACAGGGGGAGTCCATAAATACATGGACGCAACATATATTTTTCATCAGGATATCTGATTCGGTGTCTTTACGTGATGATACAAATTGTTATAAATATGAAAGTTCTGATAGAGTAACCTTGTATTTAGATTATATTCTAGAGATTCAGATTCTGTGGGTTTAAGAAAGGGTTTATCTCAAACTTTAGCATGCATCAGAATCACCTGGAGGTCTTGTTAACACAGATTGCTGGCCTCAACCCCAGAGTTTCAATTCAACAGGTCTGGAATAAGCCCAAGAGTTTACATTCTAACAAGTTGCCAGGTGTTGGCTCATGCAGCAAAGGTTCTAGAACCACACTTTGAAAACCACTGCTTGAGGAAGAATATCCTTGATCAATCTTAATATTTAATTAAAAATGATATTTGTCTGTGCAACAATTAGGCCTTTTGCTTCCAAAATCAACAGCTGACTCTGACCTTTCTTATCAGTAAGATACCCTCTGTAATTTGGCTTTAAATTGTTTTTGTGTTCCCTTACGCTTTGTAGTGACTCTGCTTAATACAGACACAAGGCCCCCCGTGCCCTCTTTCTGCTTTTTTCCTGTATTATGTTATTAGAATGAATCCCCCAGTAAATCAAGAGGAATCAAGACTGTGACCACATCCACAGAATTAAATGTCCAGGATTTATCTAATAGTAACCCGCTTGTCCTCCTGCCCAGAAACGAACATTCTGTTGGAGTTTTCTGCTTTTAACAGTAGCCCTTTTGTCAAATGCGTACAATGTCCTGGAGAATATTTAAGTAGGAAGAAAGGCATGTTGGTACTCTGAGCACATTTGGACATCCAGAATTTGATTCTGCAGTCTTTCCTTTACACAGAGCAATGTGCAAAATGTCAGGGTTCCAATATTCATTTCTACCCTGATTATAATCCTTTCTTTCTAAAAACTGAAGCATATGCATATGCATATGCATGAAGTACATGAAAATTTGGAACAGAAGCTCTGCGACCTTGGACTGGCCTGTGTAGCTATTTATTCTGCTTAACTCATTATTGAATTTTAAGGTCAAATGAATGTTTTCTCAGTGCCATAAGACCAGAAATGGGCTACTGATAGGAAAACCCTGGAAGATAAAGGTACAAGCTTGTAACTATCATCAAAAGGACAAGAGGTGAGCTCACTTTAAATTCAAGTCTCGGGGAGCTGAGACATTTCTGCTATTTACCATCTTGCCAGATCATGATCAAAATTATTCAATTAATTTGAAAATTGCAGACATGTAATATTTCTAGAGAATGTGTCCATTTACCACCTGAATGTGCAATCTTCTAGAAGAATGGGTCTTGGTATCAGATGCCACAGTAAGAAAATCATATCACTCGTGGAGTCCAGAAGCCTCGAGAAAGTGAAATACCAAGATCTGGGCAACCAAGTAGAATTATCAACCAGAGATTTGAGTTTTAGCATAATCCTTCTTAAATCTTCCTACTCTCTTTCCTGATCATACTCTTTAACACTAATTCCAAGCTAGAAAGTGAAAATCTTTAAACTTCCTTTTCTCTCTCCAGCTCGATGGAGAATTTGCACTAGTCAGAACTATATTTTAATATTCACTTATGGAATATTTATTGGCCATTTTATCTGTTCTCTTCTTTCCACATACTCAGGGTCACATGAAAGTATCACAATACTAACATATTTGAGATTTTAAGAATGTACAAAACTGTCTGATTAATATATTCTAAGACATTTTTTCATATTTGGATCTGAAGGATTCAGCTATAAAATTGTCCCAGTAAATCTTCAATTTATTTTTGTATGCTTTCAGAAAGCATGAATTCTAGGAAATTTAGTAATATGTATTACTTCTAAAATGTTTATATCCACAATCAGAAAACAGCAAACACCTACTGGAATATAGTAGGCATATCATGTAAAAAGTTTATTACATAGAGTCTCTGCCCTAAGAGATTAATGAATTCTGCAGTGGACATATGGCAGACATCCATGTAAGGACCATCCCCATGCAGCTATGTTAAGTAGTTCTAGGCAATGGAAATGTGGGAATGGCAAATTCTTTTCTTTTTTTTTTTTAATTTCCAGAGAACATGTATACTCGCCAGAAAAAGAGAGAGAGAGAGGAAGAATGCATCCCCCATGGGGTATGATCTGCTGTAATCCCTTCATTACTCCATTCAGTCTAGACTTGAGGGATGCACATACACACACTCTATGTTTTTCAAGCATAGAGGCTAGGATTCAAACTGTGGTCAGTTATATGGGATCTGGCTCCCTTTACCACTATGCTATGGGGCCAGCCTGGGAATGACAAATTTTAATAAATTTATGATTATCACCATACTAGCTCTCTCCTACAGCACCAAAATACAAAAGACAAAGCTGAGATTTTTAAAAACCACATTAGAGAAGAATAGTAAATATCATATATTACACATCGTAAGTTTTAAGGGAAAAAAATGTTTCATGATATGGGGATGGCCCAAGGAGAATGATGTTAGAGAGATGAGTAGATTGTTGAGGTTGTTGCTACTTTATTCTACCAGAAGAAAAAATGGTATTTAACAGGAAATAAAAGCAGGATGATAAAGCAAAGTTACATTTGTAATTTAGATCTTAAATATACTTAATAGTTCTATGATTACTAGAAAGACTTAGAGAGGGGAGCGTGTGTGTGGCCAATGAGTTTTATGTTCTAAATGATTTTCATTAGAATTTAAACCTTGGAAATTATTTTTGATTGGAATAATTTTAATTGCATAAAGTATGGATAAGTAAAGGCTTTAGGAGTTCTATATTCTGATGTCCATTTTATTTAAACTGAAGTTGTGCCAAATTCTGTCTTGTCTTTCTTGAATAGTGTCTGAGGATAAGAGCAAACATTTACTAATGCCCTAAAATGACATAGAGATATTGGAATATCCATGTCAGAGCATTATTTTAAAAATCTGTAATACTTAAATAAGCAGGCCTAGGAAAATAACTACTGACAAGTTTATAATGTTACTTTTTCATTAGTAATATTGAATTAATGTTAATACAAGTAGGATTCTAAGTATTCCTTCTGCAATATTTGAGGTAATTGAAATATTCATCCAGAATTAATATACTATCATCCTGAGTGATCTTTACATGTGGGAGCCCATTGAAATGATGAGCTGCCATAGAAAGTGAAGGAGTTGCCAGTCACACGTTGGATAGCCAGCCATCTTTGTAGAAACTTTTGAGCAGAAACCTCTCTAGGTTTTGGACCTAAGCTGGGCTCACTAACTAAGACTATTGACATATCTGCAGATGAATTCCTCAAAATAAAGAAGTATTCTATGCTTTGAGAAAATTCTCTGCAAATAGGAAACTGAGTAAATTTACTGACCACCTGTTGAAGCAATAAAATGGAAAGAAAAATGCACATTCATCACCAAATATTTTCTTTCTTTCAGTTATATTTCTATTTATGTGAAAATTTTGTTTTATAATCTATAGGCTCACTCACTCTGCTAAATGTCATACTGGTCCTTTTTTTTCAATTTTATTCTTCATGGTTTTATGTACTTTTTTAAAATGTTATAATTAAATAGCCTTCAAAATAGGCCCAGATTTACATATGAGCTCTAAATATGACATATAAGTTTAATATATGAAACAAACTAGAATAAATCAGCAGTTTGTGAAAGTAATTAAAGCCCCTAAGTTTATCAGACATTTACCCAATTTAAAATCATACCAAAAGCAAACCAAATGAAAATTATTTTCCTCTACTGCATTTCATCTATTTCAGAATAAGTAATTTTTCATTAAAATATTTTCATTAGGTATCAGCAGATAGCGTAATGGCCATGTTGCTGGACTCCCATGTAGTCAACCACAGTTTGAGTCCCGGACTGGGTGGCTTAAACTCATGCCAGGTGTGTGTGTGTGTGTGTGTGTGCCCAAGATCCCTAGAGGAGAATGGAGGAGAAGGGATTGTGGTGTGGCCATCCTCCCTGGGGGTGATTTCTCACTTTCTGTCTCTTTGTCTCTCTCACCCTATAGCAAAAAAAACTTCTACAAAAAATAAAAATTCATTAAAACTTTGTTCCCAAGAAAAATACCCACAGTAATAATGTCTCTTCTTTTTCTTCTTATTCATTCAACCGAAAAACAATTATTTCATGATTATAATTTGGAAATAGTTGAGCATCAGCAAGTTTCTGCCATCCATAATAGAAGAATAAGAAAAGTAAGTCTTACAATTTGGAAGATAATTAAGTCCAAATCGTTTGCATACTTCATAGGGATCTGGTTTCCTTGTGTAGATCTTCTCTCTCTCTTCAAATTTTTATGATTTTAAACATTAAGTTTCCAAAGTAATCTACCTGTGATTGTTAATAGTCACTTATGATCTAAAGATAAACACAATTATTTAATTTCGTAATGAGCTATTACTGTGTTCCTTTCTTTTGCTTCATTATAAGATACTGATTTTGCTCTGACTTACTTCTTTTTCAGCATCTTCTAGTTTCTTTTTCTTACTCTCAGGCATTAAATCATCCAACCAACTGAGTTCTCGTTTGGTAAACAAGAAATCCATCAATTTTCTTACGAATACCAGAGCTAATACCTAAAGTAAATAATAAAATAAATTAAAGTGGGAAATTAGAGATGAGAGATATAGATTTGCTGGCTTTTTGATAGAAGCAAGTTGGTTTCTATCAGGGTTGAGATTGCAGTAAAATTTGAAGATATATGATGGTCTTTATAAAGTTTGTAGGAAATGCATATTTTGAAAAAACTATGTATGAATTTTTAAAATATTTACACCAAAATAAATGTGTACTTGAATTTTATTTCTCCGTGAACAATATGAAGTCCCCTTCTCTGTGTATAAAACATCGGTCTTTTGCTTTCTTTGTTAACTCTTCATATCACATCCCCAGAATAGTAAGTATTATTTTACACAATATAAAAGTCATTTAAAGAAGCAATTTAAAAAAACTATAAAATGTATTTAACTCTTTTCCTAAAATACATGTTAGTAATTTGCACTATATTAAATGAGCATGAAAACATTCTTATCTATACTAATAAATTTAAAAATTATTTATAGTCATTAAAATTCACTGTAGTCTTCTCTAAGTACAATATTTAAAATTGTCTAAAACACTTAACAAAATTTCATTGAAGAACATTCCTCTAATTTCTCAGATTTGCTAGTATATCGTTAATGCTAAATTTTTAAAGTGTACAATTTTCATTCAGCTTGAATTAATTCAAACCACTATAAACATGCAGAATGACAGAGACAAAACTAATATGAATCACTGAAATTCATACATTTTCTCAAACCCTGTCTTCATCACTAATTTCAGTGCCAGCATTCATATTAAGGCTTCCAATAATTATTAAAAACTACTCTTTTGTTCTGATTTCAGTTTGTGATTCTAATGAGAGCAGAAAACCAGAGGAAGAAAGAATTAACAGAAGTTTCATACCATCATGGGAAAGACAATAGCAGCTCTTGAAACTTTTATTATCCACAAAAGGGCAAGGCAGCTCATCTGAATAATGGTGAAGAGATGAACTTTCCGAAGTGGTACATGCCTTAGATATATAAAATCTGGTTGATGTTTCGCAGGCATCCAAAAGAGCTTTATTCTATCAAAAAGCTAAAAGATTAAACAGACTAAATAGTTTTTAGGGGTAAGAGAATAATGAGAGTAGGAAAGGTAGATGTTTAATATGATTCGAAATTTTAGGTTCACATTACATACATAAAATACACATCACACTAAGTTGATATTTGAGCATCAGGACAATATTATTATGTTTACACTTTGAAATACTACAATTCAATGTAATAACATCCCCACATTTTCTCAGATATGGAGGCCGGTTATAAATTAGCAGTTTAACAATCATATATGCGGGATTAGCAGTTAGCGTAATTGCTATGTCGCTAAACTCCCATGTAGTCGACCGCAGTTTGTGTCCCAGACCCCGTGGCTAAAACTCACGCCGGGTGCGTGTGCGTGCATGCCCAAGATCCCAAGAGGAGAATGGAGGAGAAGGGATTGCGGCATGACCATCCACCCTGGGAGGTGGGGGTGATTTCTCGCTTTCTATCTCTCTGTCTCTCTCTTGTCTCTCTAGAGAGCGCACATGCCTTATAGCAAACAAAACCTCTCAAAAGAAAAAGAAATCATATATGTCACTGCTAAATGTTACTACCTTGGAGAATAGAGCCCTAAGAGGCAGAACATAATCATCTTCTTTTCACCGTCTCATCACAATCTTTTCCTTTATTTGCTCCTCAAGTGTTGAACTTCCTGAACTCCTGGTCCCTGTCCTCTTTTCCCTGAAATACCTCATTCATACCAATGGCTTCCACTTTCACCTACTTGCCAACAATTCCCAGATCCAGATCTCTGCGTCATTTCTCTCTCTCTCCTGAGTTCTAGACCCATATCCAGCTGCACAGTATAATGTTTTCATCTTATTTTTTATTCTGCTATTTTGATTTTTACCACTTTGATTTTCAACAAAAGTGTTGATACTATCTTCATGAAAACAAACATCTTAAATATAAAAATTTAATCTAGATTAATTTTTGTTAATAAAGTCTTTTTTTTTTTTGGAGAAGATTTTGTTATAGGGCACGTGCGCTCGCCAGACAGACAGAGAGAGATAGAGAGACAGAAAGTGAGAAATCATCCCCCAGGGGGGATGGCCACGCCACAATCCCTTCTCCTCTGTTCTCCTCTCGGGATCTTGGGCACGCATGCACACGCACCCGGCGTGAGTTTCAAGCCACCAGGTCCAGGACGCGAACCGCAGTCGACTACGTGGGAATCCAGCGACATAGTCATTACGCTAACTGCCGGTCCCTGTTAATAAAGTCTTAATTCAGGTTATTCTTTCCTTCCTTCCAACCTTCCATTCTTTCTTCTCCCACACCCCAACCAGGTCTGGCTGTATTGTAATCTTCCTACCTCAGTTCCCAAAATAGTCTTCCACCACTGCACCCGCCTTCACAGAAGGCTGGGAATACAACCTGGGCCTTCCACAGTGTGTCAGCCATTCAAGTAGCGATGTCAACCAGTGTCTGCTACCAAAGCTGGGCCTCAGATTAATTTATTGATTGATTTTCTATACTACACTGTTAAACTATTTTTCTATTTTTCAACTATATTTTATTAAAATTATTTTTACTTGGATCAGTATTATTTCTGTTTAACTTTTGCCATAAATTTAGTACAATTATTTTCAAACTACATAACATTATTGCTATAGCTTTGAATTTAAGGCTATTTTTATTAAAAGAACAAATTTTTCCCAGTTTAAATTTTATAAATTAAATTTTATAAGAAGGCTAAATCTCTAATCACATTTTACTTACTTAAAAGTTATACTTTATGTTATTTTTATGTAGATCATTTAAATTTTTCTCAGGTCAGTGTTTTTAGGTTTCAATGTTTCCAACAAGAAATGATTATATAGAAAATAATGGTTTTAATCACTATTAGTAAATTCTATTTTATGTCACTTCTACTGTAATATCCATGATGGATTTACAAAAAAGTAAGATTAGATTTCATTTCTTAGATAACTTATAAGAAAACCATAAACAATTCTCATTAGATATTCCACAATTATTTCAAAATGCAGAGAGACAAATGCCCATGGAGTCAAAATGTTAGGTTCAAAACATCTAGTTGTATCTGCTTATATGTATAACAGGAATCCCAAATTCAGCTTAAATCTATCTTTTTTTCTGTGCTCCATGTCTTGTGGCATGGCCTAATCTTTCCTCTCCTCGTTATCTAAACTAAAATCATATATACATTAGTTTATTTGCTGTCCATTCATTTATTCGTGTTTATTCATACCTTCCCAAAGCATTTATTTAAATCTTCAGCACAGAGTACTAAGTACTGAACTCATTCCTACCCCATCTCTGTCCATGTACATGTAACTGGGCCTTTTTATTTCTATTTCCTAAATATCTTTTAAAATTAGAAGTCACTAAACAAATAAATATATCTTGGTACATGATGGAAGTGGGACTGGGAAAGGAATAAAATAAAATTCTCTGGCTTACAACTGAGTATTTCTGCTTCTGCAGAAGTAATTTTACCCAGTCACCATTTCTCCATTATGTTATTGCATAAGTGTACTTCAGCATGTGGGTGCTTCAATTGTTATTGTTTAAATGGCACATTTGCTTTACTTTGGACTCTTGCTCTGTTAGAATGAATATAGATGTGGTTATATATCTGATTACAGAAACAGCATTCATGAGAACACTGTGATCCGTTTTGTTTCTTCCACAGTTCACAGTGAGAAGCCCAAATAAGAAGTTTCTTAATATTCCCAAACAATCATAACATACAGATTCCTCTAATATATAGAATAACAAAGTAACGTTCTTCTTGAGCCATTGATATTCAGCCTATTTCACTGTTACCCAAGTAATAATAATCATAATAAATATTCTGAGCTTTACATTGGACTTTTATCATATCCTGCTATCAATATTCCACTCCCTCCCTGAGTTAGCTACAAATCTGAATAAGAATTTCAATTGTCTGAGCTTGGGGCTCACTTGCATTTTCACTGACCTTTTTCCTCTGGGTAAGAGACTGTCAATATGTGACCTGGCTTACTGTTTCATTAGAACTATTTAAAACTCACTGTACTTAACTCATGGGCCGTTGATAATGTTTTCTTCAATTTTCATTTGAATGATTCACACCCCAAATAATTCCAAAACTTGACATTCTTGTTTAATTCTAAACCTCATGGGTATAAAATCATGTGAGCGGAATTAGGGGGGAAAATCTGTTGAAATCTATCAAAATTATTTTGTTTCTTAAGCTTCTGCTACTGTATTTATGTGAGCCTGGGGCCTAATAATAAATACTTTTCACTTACAGATGAAATTAGTACTCATGGAACTTTTGCCACAGGCAAAAAAAAAAAAAAAACAGCAAAACAAATAAATAAAACCTCCTCAGTACTCTTTCCTATCTGCCTTACCAAACCAATTTTATCAAAATATACTTTTCATATATGAAATATTAAATGAGCAAATTATATTTAATTAGAGTCTAATTTAAACACATGATACATCTCTATCATCTACCTTTGCCACTTTGATTGTAACCACCGTCAAGATAAACAGAGTCACACTATCTACTTTTGGTGCATGGTGATCTGACGATGACTTCAGACTGAAGTTCTGCCTTCATTCTGATGTCCGGCACTGTTCTAAAAACAAGGCTTAGGGGCCAACAGGTTGCAAAGTGGTAAAGCAGTGGACTTCCATGTGGTTGACCATGGTTCAAGTCCTGGATTCAGAAGCTTGAAACTCATACCAGGGATGTGTGTGTGCATGCCAAAATCCCAAGAGGACAACAGAGAAGGAAGGATCATGGCATGGGTCATGGTCACACAACCTGGGGGTAATTTCTCGCTTTCTGTCTCTTTGGTGAGCAGATTCACCCTATGGCTCTTTCCTATCTGCCTTACCAAACCAATTTTATCAAAATATACTTTTCATATATGAAATATTAAATGAGCAAATTATATTTAATTAGAGTCTAATTTAAACACATGATACATCTCTATCATCTACCTTTGCCACTTTGATTGTAACCACCGTCAAGATAAACAGAGTCACACTATCTACTTTTGGTGCATGGTGATCTGACGATGACTTCAGACTGAAGTTCTGCCTTCATTCTGATGTCCGGCACTGTTCTAAAAACAAGGCTTAGGGGCCAACAGGTTGCAAAGTGGTAAAGCAGTGGACTTCCATGTGGTTGACCATGGTTCAAGTCCTGGATTCAGAAGCTTGAAACTCATACCAGGGATGTGTGTGTGCATGCCAAAATCCCAAGAGGACAACAGAGAAGGAAGGATCATGGCATGGGTCATGGTCACACAACCTGGGGGTAATTTCTCGCTTTCTGTCTCTTTGGTGAGCAGATGCACCCTATGGCAAAAATCTCTCTCAAAAAAAAAAAAAAAGATAAATAAATAAAACAATAAGGACTTCTCTCAAAGTCAGAAGCTGGTTATTCACTAATAGAGATCTGTGCTGCCTGTCCCCCAGTCAGGCAATTGTTCTTTTATATATATTTGAACAGCAACAAGTCTAGTTCTGTCATAAGAGAAAGCTGGAACTTATATTTGCCTTCTAGATGACAAAAAAATAAATAAAAATATAAACCTCAAATTTAGTTCCTTTTAAAGAAAATTTAAGTGCTTTGGCTAAATAATGTTGTTATGAAACAAGATTATTCAAAGGCATATTTAAGTGGAAATCTGTGCTAGTCCATTTCCTAGGACTGACATAACAAATTACCACAATTTGGTGGCATTAAACAATAGAAATTTACCCTTTCACAGTTGCAGAGGCCAAAAGTCAAGATGGCCAAGGCCATGCTCCTTCTGAAGGCCCTGGGGAGGAACTTTCCTTGCCTATTCTAGTTCCTATGACTCCTGACATCCTTGTCTTATGGCAGCAAAACTCCAGTCTTCTCCTCCATCTTCACACAGCCTTCTTCCCTGTATCTCTATGTGCCTCTCCTCCTCTCAAAGACCCCAGTCATTAGACTTAGGACCCACTCTACAACCACGATGATTGCCTCTTGAGATCCGTATTTAATTACATCTCCAAAGACTCTGTTTCCAAAAGGTCACATTCAGAGACTCTAGGCAGATAGGAATTTTGAGGAAACACTTGTATGCAACCCATAATAGTGTAATGTAAGAAATAAACAGGAAAAATTTGCTTGCAACCTCTGTTAAGATTTGGAATAAACCTATGAAGCTTTTCAAATGTGTCCACAAGTTCTTTGATACTTCATTTCATCAGATAGAGTCTAATTTTCCTCATCTTGTGTGTAAACTCTACTTAGTAGCTCATTTTTAAAACAAAAATAGGGGAAGGTATGTACAATTTTGGAGATAAGTCAAAAGGCACTGTGACTTCATTCTCTCTCTCTCTCTCTCTCTCTCTTTCTCTCTCTCTCTCTCTCTCTCTCTTATATTGCTTACTGTGAAAGAATTGCTTCCTTGTTGTAAGGACACATAAGTAGCCTACAGAGAGGCCCTTGTGGCAAAAAACCCTGAGGCCTCCTGTCAACCACCAGAGAGGATGTCTTGTCCACAGCTGTGTGATAAACCCTTTTGGAAGTAGATCGACCAGTTCTACAAAGCCTTCAGATGACTGGAGTCTTTGTCCACATCCTGAGAGCAACCACATGAGACAGCTTAACACAGAACCCACCTGGTGAATCTGTCTCCAAATTCATGATCCCCAGAAACTGTGAGGTAATAAACATTTTTGTTGTTGCTTTTGTTTATTTTTGAAAAGAGGTTTTTGCCTGCACTCACCGGAAAGATAGAGACAGAGACAGAAAGTGAAAAATCACCCTCTGGGGGTGGGGAGATGGCTACACTGCAATCCCTTTTCCTCCATTCTCCTTTTGGGATCTTAGGCATGCATGCACACATGCCCGGTGTAAGATATAAGCCCCTGGGTCTGGGATTTCAACCACAGTCAACTACGTGGGAGTCCAGCAACATAACCATTCCGCCATCTACTGGTACCAACATTTGTTTGTTGTTGTTGTTGTTGTTGTTTGTTTTTGTGGGGTTTTTTTCAGCTAAGTTGTATAGTATATTTGTTGTGTAGTAATCAAAAACCAATACATCACCTAAAATACTTAGCTAATCAGTACTTAAGGCATTAAATTTCTCTTAGATTTTACACTGCCTTACCCTACACCTTTATTGAATTAAATTTCTCTTAGATTTTACACTGCCTTAGACTACACCTTTATTTTAAATTTTAAAAATAATTATATAATACAATTATAATAATAAGAGAAAAACATATGTGAAAGGAAAAAAATCACCAAAGTTCTCACTCTCTAAACAAATGGTTTTTGTTTCTCCACCTTCCTTTTTAACGCAGTACAAACTCATAACTTTATAAGCCTATGGTAGGTATTTTTTCACTTTGCATTATGTCATAACCATTTGTTTGTTAGTTTTAGAGAGATTTTTGTTATAGGGCATATGCCCTCACCAAAGAGATCTAGTAAATCAGAGAGACAGAAAGAGAGAAATCACCCCCGGGAGGATGGCCTAGCCATCTTTCTCCTCCATTCTCCTCTCCAGATTTTGGGCACACATGCACATGCACCAGTATGAGGTTCAAGCCTCCAGGCCCAGGACTGGAACCACAGTCGGCCATATGAGAGAATAACAATGTAACCTTTACTCTATCTGCTGGTCCCTGTCATAAATATTTTTTACCACGTTATTTTTGTGATAATCATAATTATTCATTTTAAATGAATGCACCATAAGTTACTTAATTATTTCACTGCTCTTGGATAACTGGATTATTTCCAATATTTTAATAGTATGGGCTACTATGAACATCTTTGTACATAAAGCTTTTTCTGTTCTCATGGATGCTTATAAACATGAGCAGAATGTCATAATTCTAAGTATTAGATGTACTTTAAAAGGTACTGCTATTAGTTTTCTAAAATAGCTATAATATCAAAACTTTATACAAGATTAGTATATTTACAATAAATGAAAGTACCCTAAGATTATGGACCGTAGGTGCTAGAGAGGAAATCTTTAATCTTTGCAACTCTGACAAGTTCAAAGAAATATAATTGTGTTCTGAAAATGGACACTCATGTGGTATCATTTCATTAGCTGTCACATGACCTAACATAAATCGGCCTTGAGAGAAGTCATCACAGATATGACTACAATACTGTAAGTAATTTACCTGGATTCCCTTTAGTGATGAAGCACCCATATAAAGAAATACTCCGTATAATACTGGCATGGGAATGAACTGTAAAAGAACAATTAAGCAACAAGCACAAGTTATTATCAAAATAATGTGGTCATACTATATTGCACTTACCAAATTCAAAAAAATAGAAAAACAGCAAAATAGGTATTTTAGAAGCAGTATGGTACAGAAGCAGAAGCTATAGGTTCGAATTTCAGCTCTAACATGTTTAACTGTGTAACCTGAGGTAAGTTATTTAAGGTCTCTGAGTCTTAGTTTCTCACTATATAAAAAGAGATAATAACAATTGGCTTGCCATATTCAATAGGCAAAACCTATTAAAGGAACCCACAGAATACATAATGAAATAAGTATGAAATATACCACTTTAGAAACAATTTGATTTTGTTTCATATTCATAAGGCATTGAAACTAACAATAAAGAATGAAGCTAATATCTAGATGTTCCCACATTATACCATATATCTGTAAGCAAGTGGATTGCTCAAATGATCTCTTTTATTGGAATAACTCATTTTCGTCCTAGGTCTATGAGATAATTACTTATATAACATAGAAGGTAATTCTTACCAAGGCACTTGTGTCAGTGATTAAACACAAGTAAATTTGTGTAAATGATTAAATAATTTAATTTAAAAATTTGAATTATACCCAAATAAAATGAGTTATAATTTATAATGCAATTAGCAGACTTTGAAATTATCTGCCAAAAGGACAGGACAAAATAATTACTTTTTAATGCTCTTCAAATGGAATCAATTATTTTAGATGGGAATAAGATAGATATATTCAATGATGATGTCCTTGCAGTAGTATTATGGGGTGTTTAAAATATAACACTGTCTATGTGACTGTGATCATAACTATGCATCTCTCTACTTCTCTATCTTATAATAGGAGTATCAATGGCTAATACAGCTGTCACCAACAGGAAAAGAGAAGCTTTACTTTCTGTAAGTCTGTAGTCAATTCAGGTCATAAATTAGTCTGAAATAATGGCTGCCATTTTTTCCCATAGTTTGATCACCATTTCAAGGTATTATAATAATTTATACATCAAATTTTACTTTGTCAAATGAAATTTTTATGTACTTAGGGATTCTAAAATGTAGGCTGTAATACCCCCTCTTAGGTTATGAAGAATTATATAACCATGTTAAAGAAATTTATCACTTTGATCATGTCATACAGTATTTGCAAACTTATAGATTAGATTCAAATGAAAATTTTAATGAATGATAAATATATTCTACCCTCTCTTAAATTCATGAAGACAGATTTCTTTACCTTCAGAATACTGGTCATAAAAACTGAAGAGCCCATAAGAATAAAAATCATAAGCCCAGTAACCCTTTGCTCTCGAATGCCAAGGAATTTGGGTTGTTCTCCTGGAGCTGAACATTCTGATTCCAGCTTGAGGCTGTTGACGTGAGTGATGGAGAGGACCGTTGCAGCCACAAACCATGGCAGGCCCATGATGGAACACACACCCAGCATGACAGCCACCATTAATAGATCCAGATGGTACCCACAACCTTTCTGTTAACAACAAGCAAAAAAAAAAAAAAAAAAACAAAAAAAAAAAAAAAAAAAAACAGAAAGAAAATAAAAGAAAAAAAGAAAGAAAGAAAAAAGAAAAAAAAAAAACTGTCAACAATAGAACTGTGAATGTCCTGATTGAGAATAGAAACCACTTTCCAACAATACCAAAGAAGCCTCTTCTTAAACATTTCCCATTTGCCCTCTTTTGTTTCAATGGGTGATTTTTACTGGGAAGAATCATAACATGGAGCCTATTTTTCCTTATATAATTCCTAATTTTTATCTCATTATAACGACTCATCTTAATGCCGTCTTGCTCTCATGGTTTCTGTTTCAGCATTAGAAAAATCAGCCTCTCCTTAAAATGATAATATATATTTTTTATGTCCTCTGTGGTTCTACTCCACTATCTGTCCTCTAGGACTGCAAACTTCAGTGCTTTCTAGAACAGACAGGACGTGTAAATCACGAAGAAACAGGTGCAATAGGATGTGAGGAGATTGTTCTCTTGAATAAGATGACTAAGTAAGGCCTCTCTGAGGAGAAAAATCAGAGAGAGCACCATTTCCCTCTTGGTCTATTTGACATTTCAACTGTTATTTTAATTTTTATGACTACTTCACATAAGGCAATATAATGAAGTGGTTAAGAGTACAGATACTTGGGAACCAGCAGTTAGCGTAATGGCTATGTCACTGGACTCCCACGTAGTCGACCGCGGTTCGTGTCCCAGACCCGGTGGCTTAAAACTCACGCCGGGCGCGTGTGCGTGCGTGCCCAAGATCCCGAGAGGAGAATGGAGGAGAAGGGATTGCAGCGTGACCATCCCCCCTGGGGGTGATTTCTCGCTTTCTGTCTCTATGTCTCTCTCTGTCTGGCGAGCGCACGCGCCCTACAGTGAAAATCTCTCAAAAAAAAAAAAAAAAAAAGAAAAAGAGTACAGATTCTTGGCCCAGCCATGGTGGTCCAGCAGTTGTGCCAATGTGCTGTGATGCTGGAAACTACGCAGAAGATGGGGGTTTGGTTCCCTGAGTCGACCAGTTTTCAGCAGGTGCATGTATGTATGGCCATGATCCTGGAAGGCTAGAAAAGGCTGGAGAGAAGTAGCAGCATGAAACACTTTTGAAAACACTTGTCTTCCTCTCTTAAGAAAGAAAAAAGAAAAGAAGGAAGGGATTAAAAAAAAGAGAAAAGGAAAGAAAAAAAAAGAAACTTAAAACAAAAACAAAAACCAAGGGTATAGATTCTACCTAGGATCAAAGGCCAATTTCAGTAACCTTAGACAAAACACTTGTGTCTCTTTTTCTCTATCTGAAAAATGGTAATGATGATAATAGAAGACATCTCATTGGGATTTTGTGAAAATTAAAGTACTTAATTTTGCAAATCATTTAGAATAATGTCTGCTATCTAGTAAGCATCCAGTAAAGGTTAAGTGCTATTGTATTTTGACTGTTGAACAATACATTTTTCTTTGGTACTCACTTTGTTTCTAGGCTCCTCAGTAATGCGTGTTTCTTATGGGCAGATAATGTCCCATAATTTTTTTCCCCCACAATCATACCCATACAGTAAGAAATCAACACAAGTTACCAACTGATTTTTTTTTAGTTGCCAGATGATGTGTGGGCTCACCAGGGAGAGAGACAGAGAGAGGGAGAGGGAGAAAGCATGCCCTCACACATGGAGTACAGTCATGCCACAAACCCTTCTCCACTTTTCTAACCTGTAGGGATTTGGAGCATGCATGCGCATGTACCCTGTGTGCTTTCCAGTTCACCGGGGTTAGGATTTAAATCGCTGTCAGCCATGAGATATCTGTCTTACCTTAACCAGTAGACACATTACCACCAGCCCATCAACTGATTTTTTTAAAAGGAAATATGCGTCATTGAAACATCTCTTAAAATTAAATTTAGTAAGTGTAATTTAAAAATAAATATAGCAGCTAAATCTGTTATGAAAATCATGAGCAGAAATTACCAATTCTTCTGGAAAAATAGTTTTGGGGTTTTAGAGGCTCATATATCAAACTGCAAGCATTCATAGTGAATACAAAAATTCATATAGTCTGTAGTTTACACATAATATACTATTAAATTGCATATTTGCGACGATATTGTTTTCTCTCTACTAGTTTGTCTTTATAATTATTTTCTTATTAAGAAAAATATTCTTAAAGTCAATTGTATGTCCTTCATTTCTGTTTATTCCTGCCAAATTACAAAAGTTCAAGAGATGAGGGACCAGCAGTTAGCGTAATGGCTATGTCACTGGACTCCCATGTAGCCGACTGCGGATCTAGTCCCGGACCTGGTGGCTTGGCCTCACGCCCGGCACATGTGCATGTGTGCCCAAGATCCCAAGAGGAGAATGGAGGAGAAGGGATTGTGGCATGGCCATCCCCCCTGGGGGGTGATTTCTCGCTTTCTGTCTCTCTGTCTCTCTCTGTCTTTCTGGCAAGCGCATGTGCCCTATAGCAAAACCTGTCAAAAAAAAAAAAAAAAAGTTCAAGAGATGATAGTGAGGAGAATATATATGGAAGATAACTACCTGAGAACCTTTCTTCTTTGTACTGTCACCAGTGCAGTGGTAGCCTTCCTTGGGTCAACTTAATTGGCACAATGCTATAATTCACCAGAAAGTCTAAACTCAAATAACTATGACTCTGAAAACTTTTCTTTGCTAGTAAATCAGGAAAGATTTTCATTCATAAGAGCTGGAAAGTGTAAAGGAAAGCATTCGGTGTCAGAAAAACCAAAATGGCATGGAAAGAGGATTCACCGCAGCTATAATATGGCCCCCTGGCCCTTTTGCAAAACATTTTAGAAGATGTGGTTCCACAGAACAGAACTCAAATTTTGTCCTTTAAAAGGACAATATCATACACAGGAGTGAGCTTAAGAGAAGGGTTTTGTCCTTGGGACTGTGGAGTGAGACAGATGTAGAACAGTAAGATCCTAATTCCTCAAGGCCTGTCTAGGAGGGAGCGTGATATAAATGGTACAGAACACCCCCAGAGCTGTTCTGCAAGGTTATGGCAGTGCTGAGGGAGAATGGAAGGTGGAAGGCATTGGTGGCCACGAGGTGAACATTAAAGGTCAGAAGACAAGGGGCCATGAGAGCTGAGGTTGGGATTTTAGAACACCCAGGATTTTCTCAAGATACCTATTAACCACTGCTAAATAACATGAGAAAGGCTTTCCTCACGATAATAATTCCTATAACTCCTACTGAGTATTTAAAAAATCTGATACACATGTAAACAGTAGGATTCTGGATTGCAGCAAATGGACAAAGGGACTAACTTTGTTTTTAAATCTAGAAAGCTAGCTTTTTAATGTACCCTTACATGATAAAAACAAAAATATAATTTCCCCCTGATTATATTGTACAACAATAGGGGCATCTTGATTTAATGCAAACCAAAGGAAATAAAGCAGTTCTGGCATTCCCACTAATTAATCGGCATCCTTCCTGCCTTTCATTTAAAACTTGGTCTTTGTAACCAAATTATTAGCTGATAGGCATGCCAGCCAAAGGGAAGTATCCCTTTGTCAGACAGAGAACTCTGCACCTTCTAACATATTTCTGAAGATTTTTTTCTCAAATAAAGACAGAACTAGAGCTTTTATTCTCACATTCATCCATGAATCACGAGAAATGGACATATGGGAGGAAAAGGGAGCATAGCAACAGGTGATGCTACACCAGACCCCACTAAAACCAACATGCAGCAAGACAAGAGGCCAGCCAAGAGGACCATCTGATACCCAGATGCCACTGCTGAAAAAATTCATTTCAAAGCTTGGCAGCAATTTCCTGCATCTGTCAAGTTAACCACATAAAAGACTATAGATTGACATGAAGAACCAGGCTGACAAAGAGGGCAAAAAAGAACATATCAAATGCCATAATCATCAAGAGAATGTGTGCCAAATGAATGTTGCAAATGCATTCATTTGCTCAAGTGATCCAGGATTGTATTGCTGTTTATTAAAAATGATGTCAAAAGAAGCCTGAACTGTCTACAGAAACAAGTAGAAAAGCCCATCATTGTATCTTAACAGAAACTTTCTTTTCTGTAAGATAATCTCTCTCTTTCTACTTTTAAGGAGTGTATTTTTAAAACAACAGCAACGAACAGATATTTTTAATGCTTTTCAAAGGAATTCAGTTAACCTACGCCTATCCCACTTCTCTAAGGAAGAAACAAACAAACAAACAAATGCTGGAGGGACTGGATTTTTATATGTACTAGGGCCCTTCAAAACATGGGTGAGAAATGCTTACTGTGACAGAACGAAGCATGGATTTCAAAATAATTTTGTACAAAAGTAAACTTGTACTTTAATTCTATGTTCTGCTACCTTTTTAAAGTCTCCTTGCATACATGTAACATATGATTCTTGACATTTTCAAATTTTTACATTTATAGCTAAACCTTTGAGCAACTCAGGGGATCTTGATGTGCAGCAAGTTGGAGTTTTGCTAATTTTGAGCTTCCTTATCTCAGGAAGTAGTAAGTCATTTATCAGTGAGTTGAGTCTAACCTATGCAGCTCAACATGGCCTTATTACGTACATAGTAATAATAAGAAAATTACAAAAACATTTCTACTGGCATGAGAAACATTACCTAAAGGAAAACCAACTGCTAGTTTTGACAATGGAGGTAAGAAAAACAGAAAAGATCTAAAATACAAGTTTGGATGAGATAATGAAATGATGACATTTGAAGTAATGTAGATTTAGATACATGATATGGAGTTTACCAGGTGCCTCAGACAGAAACTAGAAAATACGATTCATTAAACAATTTCAAGAAATGCATGGGACCAGCAGTTGGCATAATGGCTATGTTGCTGGACTCCCACATAGTCAACCACGGTTCAAGTCCCAGACTCAGTGGCTTAAACTCACGCTGTGTGTGTGTGTGTGTGTGTGTGTGTGTGTGTGTGTGCCCAAGATCCTGAAAGAAGAATGGAGGAGAAGGGATTGTATCGTGACCATCCCCCCACCCCCACCCCAGCCATCCTTCCCAGGGGTGGGTGTGGGGTGTGTGTGTGAGAGTGATTTCTTGCTTTCTGTCTCTCTGTCTCTGTCTTTCTGGTGAGCGCACGTGCTCTGTAGCAAAAAACTTCTCCAAAAAAAGAAAAAAATGCTCCAATCAAGGCAAAATGAGTTTTTGTCTGGGAATATACACAAGAAATAATATCTTTTCAATAAAATGTGTTCAAATCAAATCTGGGAGATTTTGCACACACTTCAGGGAATCAACATGCAGAGAACAGCTTTGCAAAAATCCATTATTCTGAGTAAATAATGTTCTCAGAAAGTGATTTTGTTGTTCCTGACAGGAAAATCAGCAGTAACAGACCATATGAAGGATCTTCAAAAAGTATGTGGAAAATGCCCATTATTAAAAAAAAAATCTATGTATGAATTTAATTTTTTTTGTCCCCATTGTTCCACAAACATTTTACCACAATAGTGAAACTAAAAGGAGTCAAGAGCTATAGCTCAAAAATAGGTGTCCAGTGAAGATAAATTGTAAATTGCATTTTCATTGGAAGGAATTTGCTTTGAAAAAACTCCACATTCAAAAAGGGTATTAGGACTCACAGTGGCCAAAAGTAGACTGATGCTTCTTCTTGTAGCAAAGTAGCAGAGTTTTGAGGCCGTCAAGTGGCATGGTGGTTAAAGGCACTGGATTCCCAAATGACAAACCATTGAGTCCTAGACCTGGCAGCTTGCTTTCTCACTTTCCCTTTCTCTCTTTCTGGTCAAATTAAAAATAATGATAATAATAGTAACAATAACAACAACAACAAATTGAATTAAATAAATAAATTATTATTTTCTAAAAATAGCAGAGTTTATGATTAAGCCAGATTTGCTCTACTGTTTACTAGATCCAGGGTATTAAGTGCAAACCTATAAACTTTGCACTACATATTCATTTCTTTATATAATAAAAATGTTTGCTAATGCAGCCTCAAGGTTTATTTCAGTGACACAAATATTAAATCCTTTAATTTAGCTCTATATCTAATTCTAAAAATGAAAGTCCTTGAAAGGAACATTTAAAGAATTCTTTAGTGCATTTTAGCTATTCTGCACTTTATGTAATGGGAGATTAGTTTATTTGTCAATCAGTTGAGGGGTTTGGAACAGCTGTGAATATCAAGGAAGTACATAGGCTCATGAAGAGCAAGGAGTAATGGCAAGTGCTGTGTGATTTATACCGGAGAGAGTAAGGACACACAATGGTTAAAAAGGTAATGTAGCCCTCAACAAATCTTCATTTAATTCTATTATTTTAATATGATTCCACCAGTATCTGAGAAAAAATACTATCTGATCAGTTTAACTGATACCTTTTATTCTTTCTAAAAACTTTTAGCTTTTTAAGATTTTGTTTTATCATAGGGTGTGTGTGCATTTGCCAGAGCGAGACTGGGAGAGAGGGAAGTGAGAAATCACCCACCAATCACCCACCACCTCCAGGGAGATGGTAACACCACAATTCCTTCACTTCCTCTCAGGATTATTATTATTAATAATAATAAATAAATAAATAAGTAAATCGTTTTAACTGATTTTTTAACCAAAATGACATACTACTTTATAATAAAGAGATATTTAAATTTAAAAAAATGAGCCAAGGTTTATGAAAACTATTTTCCTACATCTTACAAGTAGCACGGCAGCATGACATTCAATATAAAGTACTTAAACTAGTTTTAGAGATCTATTTAATTAACTATTTTAGTTTAATAATAAACTTGTAGTGATGTTTGCTTTTGCAGAAGGTTGATATTTTAAAACCAAATTATATTTTTGAACTTTTTATATTGAACAACTATATATTAAACTTAGAAATTCCTGGGCCAGGTGGTGGCTAGGCAGCTGTATCCCGCACTGCCAACTGAACTGTTTAAGTACCAGACGTGGCAGCTTCAGAAACACCAGGACATTATCGCATGCATGCCCAAAATCCCAAGAGAAGGGAGAGACAGAGACGGGATCACACCGTTACCATGCCCATGGGGAGGTGCTTTCTCATCTTCTCTCTTTCTCTCTTCTCTGGTGAGTGTACAAGTTTTTGGCAAAACTTTCAAAAAAAGAAATATGAATTCCTTATTTTATTGCCATGAATAGTTCACAATTTTAAATATTGAATGGTTTAGCTCAGTGGTGTTTTGGATCCAGTGCATATAGGTCTAAAATTATGTAACTTTCAAAACACTTTTCTGCCAATTGATGTCACATCAGTAGCCTAGAATGAGTTATGATGGGAGTATTCAAACCATGGAAATCAGCAGAAAATATAACTCAGGGTCTCTCTCTTTTTCACACAGAGAACTGGTTGTTAAACATGTACAGCACACCACTGGCTATTTTCTAAGATGTTAGAGATATTTTAGTAAAATATATCCTTAGTAATTAAACATTTTCTTTGACAAAAACCACAAGTGAATTAAACAAACTCATTTTAAAAAGTCTTGAGTTCAGCTAAGTTACTTTCTACAAAGAGAATAGAGAATGTACTTTTTAAAAGATATTCTCTCCCACATATACAGAAAATTCCTTCTTACTAAGATTTATTACAAATAGGACCGGTAGGTGTCATGGTGGTTAAGGCGCTGAACCCTCGCATGACCCATCGTGGCTTAGCAGCTTGAAAATCACACCAGGCATGTGTGTGTGCATGCCCAAAATCCCGAGAGGAGAATGGAGAAGGGTTGCAGCATGCCCAACTCCCCTTGTAGGGGAGGGGATGGTTTTTTGCTTTCCTTATCTCTGTCTTTCCACATGTCCTATAATTGTACATTCTTATATTACATCATTGTTAATGCAAATCACAACTTCTTTCTTTCTTTCTTTCTTTCTTTCTTTCTTTCTTTCTTTCTTTTTTTGGTAGGTTTTATAGGGCACATGTGCTCACCAGAAAGACAGAGAGAGACAAAGAGACAGAAAGTGAGAAATCAACCCCCCTCCAGGGAGGATGGCCACACCACAATCCCTTCTCCTCCATTCTCCTCTCGGAATCTTGGGCAAGCATGCACAAGCACCTGGCATTAGTTTAAGCCACCAGGTCCGGGACTCAAACCATGGTAGACTACATGGGAGTCCAGCGACATAGCCATTATGCCAACTGCTGGTCCCCAAATCACAATTTCTGTTTCTCTGGAGTTTAAACGGTACCTGAGAGAGTTGATGAATCCCCCAAAAGATCAGAACAAAGTAAGATTGTGCCGTCCTTTTTTTTTTTTTTTTTTTTTTTTTCACTATAGGGCGCATGCGCTCGCCAGACAGAGAGAGACATAGAGACAGAAAGTGAGAAATCACCCCCCCAGGGGGGATGGTCACGACGCAGTCCCTTCTCCTCCATTCTCCTCTCGGGATCTTGGGCACGCACGCACACGCGCCCGGCATGAGATTTAAGCCACCATGTCCAGGACACGAACCACGGTCAACTACGTGGGAATCCAGAGACATAGCCATTACGTTAACTGCTGGTTCCCACAATCCTGTTTTTATAAGGCTTGTTTCAAGCTATTTTTTTAATAATTCAATGATGTTTTAAATTTTATTTAACATATTCCTGTAAGTGATAGAGCTAATGTTATATATTTCAGACAAAATGTATACCAGTGAACAACTTCAATTAGTCATGGTTGCAAAATGGGAACGTTGAGCTATAATAAATAATATAGATCCATATTTAGTTACTGTCTTGTTTGTAAAAAAGTTATTGAAATCTGGATTGTCATTTACAAACTACATTTATGGCTGGATTTTGTTGTCATAGGCATTACAGACAGAATAATAAAGAAACTGAGAACTATCTAAAGATACAGTTTGTTCCTATAATAAATGCAATGTAATAAGCAGTCTTAGAGTTCAGTAGAGGAACACAGAATTTTAGATGTAAGAGAAGCTGGTAATGTAGTACTTCACCAGAATAGACAGTAAGACAAGTTAAACGTGATAAAGTTAGAACTTTGACATTGTTTTTTTGTTTTATTACGTCCTGAAAGGAAGGTCTTAGACGTTACAACTCAGCCAAGCACTACAACAAATATATTTTCATCTCATTGTAAGACAAAGTAGCTCATATAAATTATGAACCTAAAAACATTATTTTACTCTTGTACTATACAAATGAATACAGAATACAGGCAAGGTCTAATGAAAATCGACTGAAATCAGTTAAATCAATATTATTTACATTAAAATATGTTAAAACATACCTTCAGTTTATGCTCTTTTCTATTGATGATGACAGCTGTTATTTGTTGGTCCATAAAAATCAGAATAGTACAAAGCAAAGCTGGAATGATAGCAGCTATCACTGTCCACCATGGATTTGGACCTAAAGGTGTAACAAACCAGCCACGATCATCTCTAGTGGGCTGTAAAAAGTAAAAGAATGTTCATAATTACTACCAGGATTAATGAATATCTAATCAAGTTACCAGGAAAGCCCTAGTTATAAATTGATGAGCTGAGTGGGCTACAATGAAAAATAATAACATTCGTAAAACATTTATAAGGTAACAGGCACCATTCTAAGAACTTTAAATACTTTGCTCATTTTTTTTCTTCACAACACCCTGGAAGATAACATAGATAAGGAAATCAAGGCATAGTAATATCCAGTAAATTGCTCAAGGGCCCAAAGCTAGTAAGTGCTAAAGATGAGATTTGAACTGTAATCGACTCATTCAAAAATTTGCGTTTTTAATTAATACTTACATTGAAAAAAAATAATTTTAATATCTACTATTTACTATTGACATTTATAAACATCATGTTGGCCACTGTGCTAGACATAAGATAAAAAGATAAATAAGTAAAATCCTTCTTTCAGTTTAGAATCAGGGACAGGCATAGAAACAGAAACAGAATATTCCATACTGTGTTGTAACTGCTATTTTAAAAGTGTGCACATGATATTGAGTGAAAATAGAAAAAAGATACTTGGTGACATCAGAGGTTCAGGAAAGGGTTCTAAACACAGTTCATGCCAGAGATAAGTCTCAATGGAACTATTCTGACAACAACTCTATGATAAAGTCCCCAGTCTCAACCCCTTTGTAACAATTGAGAAAACTGAGGTTCAGAAGTTAGATAACTGGCCCAAGATCACATATGTCACTAGTAACATGGTCAGAATTCTATTCCAGACCTATTTCATCTGTTTATTTCCCCCTAAAGCCCTATCCATTGCAATTTTGCGCTAAAATAATGCATTTCTCTTGGTTTCAAAATGTTTCCTTATATTTTAGGAATGTCATATATAT